TCCATACTGCAGACTGTAGTCTTTAATCTTCATCAGTAAGTGCTTCAAGTCATCCTCACTTTCAGCAAGCAAAGTTGTGTCATCTGTATATTGTAGGTTGTTAATGAGTCTTCCTTCAATCCTGATGCCATGTTTTTCTTCATATAATCCAGCTTCTTGGACTAATTGCTCAGCATACAAGCTAAATAAGTATGGTGAAAGGCTACAACCTTGACACACTCCCTTCTTGATTTTGAGCCATGAAGTATTCCCTTGTTCTTTTCGAACGACAGCCTCCTGGTCTGTGTACAGGTTCCTCATGAGTACAATCAAGTGTTCTAGGACTCCCATTCTTCTCAATGTTATCTGTAATTTGTTATGATCCACACAATTGAATGCCTTTCAGAGTCAATAAAATGTGAGTAAACATCTTTCTGTTATTCTTGGCTTTCAGCCAAGATCCGTCTGACATCAGCAGTGATATCCCTTGTTTCACATCCTCTTCTGAATCCAGCTTGCATTTCTGGAAGTTCTCTGTCAATATATTGTTGCAACCATTTTTAGATTATCTTCAGTAAGATTTTACTTACATGAGATATTAATGATATTGTTCGATAATTTCCACATTCTGTGGGATCACCTTTCTTTGAAATGGGTAAAAATATGAATCTCTTCCAGTCAGTTGGCTAGGCAGCTGTCTTCCAAATCTCTTGGCATAACCAAGTGAGTGCCTCCAGTGGGGCATCCGTTTGTTGAAACATCTCGATGGGTATTCCATCAATTCCTGGGGCCTTGTTTTTCGCCAATTCCTTCAGTGCAGCTTCGACTTCATCCTTCAGTACCATTGGTTCTTGATCATATGCCAACTCCTGAAATGGATGAACATCAACCAGTTTGTTTTAGCATAGTGACTCTGCTTACTCCATTTTCTTTTGATGCTTCCTGTGTCATTCAATATTTTGCCCATAGAATCTTTTAATATCATAACTTGAGGCTTAAATTTTTTCCTCAGTTCTTTTAGGTTGAGAAATATTGAGCTTGTTCTTCCCTTTTGGGTTTCTAACTCCAGGTCTTAGCACATTTGATTATAGTAATTGGCTTTGTCTGCTTGAGCTGCTCTTTGAAATCTTCTGTTCAGAGCTGAACAGAGTCCTTTATGCTCTTGGAAAAAAAAAAAATAATAACAACAATAAAAACAGAGAACTTTCTGTGTGCCAGGAATTCCTCTGAACTCTTTACATGGGTTATCTCTTTTAATGTTTATAATAATTCTATAAAGTAGGGACTGCTTTAAGCTTTATTTCATGGAGCTGAAAGAGAGACATTAAGAAACTTGTCCAGGGTCACCCAATGAGTGAACAGATGAGTGAAGATTGAAACTCAGAAGTGAGGCTCCAGAGACTGCCCTCAGCCCCTTTACTTGACAGAAGGGCATTCTGTGTTGTATCTCTTCACCTGAAGATCAAAGGTAAACCACTCTTGGCCCATAGTGAACTTCCTATGATGCCTTATTTACCTTGATTTGAATCTATGAGTATGTGAAGTTGAATAGCAGGCCTTATTTTGCTCATGGTAATTTGGTTTCATGAACATTATTTCCAAGAAATTAATCATTCTCTTTTCCAATTACATCTTTGTTAAAATGTTCTTATTTCTAGCTCATCATTTATTTAAGGAGATTTCTATTCTTCGTGTATCACATTTCAGATGTTCATTGATTTTTTCCTTTGTCTATCAAATTGATTGTAGCCAAATGCATGTATCTTCCTTCTGAGGAGTAGCTGGTGAAATGCATATATAAGTAACTGTAATTCCACCTTCAGTAGTTAAAGAAGACAATGAAAAAGTACTTTCCTTTTATTATAAATCTTGGTAGTTTTGTTTAACAGTTTTTTAAAAAAACAAAATGATCTTTCCTTGCATATATGCTTTGCTTTTAACAGGACTTTATTAGACAGATATTCTACCTGTTCTACCACATATTGCTGTCAAATCAACTCCTACTCGTAGTGACTCTGTAGGACAGGGTAAAACTGTCCTGTTGGTTTCCAAGGCTGTAATGTTTATGGAAGAAGACTGTCACATCTTTCTCCCACAGAGCAGCTGCTAGGTTTGAACTGCTAAGCTTTCAGTTAGCAACCAAGTGCTTAACCACTGAACCACCAGATATATTAATAAATGATAATCCAATAATTATGGAAGAATTTTTTCCTTATAAAAGCTATATATGTATGTAAGCTACATACAGCTGCATAATCTACTGAATGAAGGAGATATATCTGTGGGGAAATAAAAAAATTTCAGTTCGGTATCCACCTTTAGTAATGCTAAAGGAGATCTGGTGGCATAGTGCTTACGGCATTTGACTGCTAACCAGAAGGCTGGCAGTTCAAACCCACCAGCCACTCTGCAGAAGGAAGACTGGGCAGTCTACTTTGGTAAACAAACATTTACCACCTCGGAAACCCAAAGGGGGTCTCTATGAATTGGAATCGACTTGATGGCAGTAAATGAGTTTAGTAATGCTTATCATTTTGTAGACTCTATTTCACTTTTCATACATAAGTATTTTCAGCTCTCTCCAGTAGTATTTAGTTCCTTATAAATATGAATATCCTAAATTGTACAAATATTAGATATTCCAATTAAAATTTTAATTTAATTTAATATAAAATGTTTGCGTAATTTCATTTATTCTGGTTTTTTTTTCATGGCAAAGAATGTGTGGGGTTTAGAAATCTAGAGTCAGACCACTGGAGGATGTTTTTTTTTATTTTATGTTTTTGTTTATAGCCCAAAAGAATAGCACCAACGTAGTGGATGTAGAGGATGCACACCAGCACAAGGTATGTCTGTGTTTAGTAATAAACCTTTTTGTAGGATTGCATTTGCTGGATATTTTATAGATCATCAGAGGGAAAAGTAAGATTACTGAAGCATTAGGGATAATGACTACACATTTGCTTTTAAGATACTTTGGAATAATTACATGAGAATCAGGGTTCTGGACAGCTAGTTTGAGAAGAAGTGGAGTAAATGTAGCATATCTGTACTCACTGATACATTGGTAGGCATTTCCTTTTTCCTCCTCTTCACGGAGCCATGAAGTTTATCAACCATGTCAAATTTCTTTTGGCCTAAGCACAATATAAGAGCCAAGAGTGTCATTCCATCCCTTCGAACTTTACATGGTGGGCAGATAATCTTCATTTGGTGCTTGGATCCTGGTGGGTGAGAGGAACCATTGTCCTGATTTTAATCTTACCAGCCCATAAAAATCTTTCTTCCCAGACCAACTTGGAAGCATATCCATCTTCTTGTTTTTAATTCTTTATCCTACATATAATCTCCCAAAAATACTGGGAGAAGAAACTCTCCTAGTTCTTTTCTCAACATTATAACAGTAGGGAGAGAGGAGAGAGAGGTGTGTTTTGAAAGCATTCTGTGAAAAGTTTGTGTTATAGGGAAACTTTAGGAGCTCTAGTGGTGTAGCGCCTAAGGGACTTGACTACTAACCAGAAGGTTGGTGGTTCAAACCCACCAGCCACTGCTTGGAAGGAAGATTGGTCAGTCTACTTCCATAGTGATGCTGCCTCGGAAACCCAAGGAGGGGTTGCTATGAGTCGGATCTGTCTCAACGGCAGTGAATTTGTTTTTTTGGTTAGTATGATTAGTTTAATAAGCCTATAAAAATTAAATAGGTTGAAATTTTATTATGTTTAATAAGACCAAAAGTGCTAAAATACTGGTTAAAAAAAAGGATTAAAACATATAGCACAAAATAAATATTAGTACACATAATTAGTCTGAGTCAATTGCACTTTGCCTTTATCTTCTTTTTTTTTTTTTTTAATTTCATTGTGATTTGGGTGAAGATTTACAGAGCAAATTCACTTTCCATACAGCAGTTCATATACACTTTGTCTCATGACATTGACCACAGTGTACCACAATGCAATGGCTCCCCTCCCACCTCCTCCCCACAGTTACCTCTTCCCAGTGTCCATCCCTCCATGGGCTCCTGTCCCCTGAGCTGTCTCCCTGTGCATAAGCAGCCCTTCTTTCTCCCATGATTGCCTTTATCTTCTTAATCTACTTTTCTGAAATACCCTTTGGATACATCCCAGAAGGTTCTGTGGTTAGAGCAAATCATAAAATTGAATGGAGTAATAGTTAAATTTATCAATAGTTCAGAATGAACTGAGTGTAGAATTCTGAAAATTAAAGCTAACCATATATTTTGTTTCTATAGAAACCAAAATATAGTTCTAAAAGGTGCATTTGGATTGTTGATGATGAAAATTCCAACAGACAGAAGCAAGAACATGTAAAAGTCCACAAAGGAAGCAAAGATAGTTTACTTATAAATAAAGAAGATATATATGAGTATTATCAAAAAGATTCCCAAAACACAAAATTTGGTAAATCTAAGCGAAAGCAGTCAACTCTTGACCAAATACACTCTGAAGGATTCCGAAAGGATAATCTTCGTAATGTCAGAGACCCCAGCACAAATGTGTCTAATAATAAAGGAAGAAGAAATACAAAACATAAAAACACTCAAGGGGATAATGGATACTGCAATCCAAGAAAGACAAGAGCTGTCACTTCTTCTAGAAGAACAAACAGATTGGTTTCACAGCAGCGTATTCTCCAAACCCTTGATGGCCTTCCAAAAGAATCATGTAAATCTTCCAGCCTAACTCTCTCAAGCCTGACAAATGGCGTAGGTAACAATATCAAGGCTTGTTCAGTTTCTAAAGATACGCATACTCAGAGCTTAGATTTATCAGGTAGTCAGAAAGTACAATTCTTGGAATTGGAATCCATTGACCAAACTGAAATTTCTTTCTCAGGACTTTCTTTGCATAAAGAAATCAAGTTACCATCTGAGCCCTTTCATACTGACAAAAAACAGCATGTTAGCCCTTATAAATTTCTTGAAAATGGTAACTCAGGTCAAAAAGATGAGAGCTTTAATAAGTGGGAAAATTCTGTCTCATCCATTGTAAAGGAAAATACTGATGATGATGGTGGTAGTGGTGATTGCTTTACCACTGAGAAGACAGTGATCTCTAAAGAGGTGGTATGTTCCACAGATTGCCAAAACCACTATAATTGTAAAGGAAATATAACAAATGTAGAAGGAATGTGTTTTCAACAGTATTTCCCTTCTGAGCACCATTATTCACAGGAAAATGCATTAAAAGTAGACAACCTAACCATACTTCCACAGCAGGAAGTTGTTACTATTTCTGATTCAGATAATACAGTCATTTCTGAACAACATTTTGCAAATTATGAGCAATATATATATGGAACTTCTTTTGATCACTCACTTGTGAATCCTAAACAAACTTCCCTGGCTTGTACAAGAACAATTTCAACACATGAAGTTTCAGAGTTGACTAGTCATGTGGAACGACTCAAAAGACCTCAGGATTATAACCCCAGAGCACCAACTGCTTTAATGAATCAAACAGAAACATGTATTGTGGAAAAGGTGAATGATGAAAAAGATACTAAAAAGAATTACACTGACAAAGATCAAGAAACAAGTTATTCTAGTCAGCCTTTTTCCACAGTTTTTCATTCGGAAGTAAAAGAAACAACTGAAATTGAAAAAATAGGACAATACCTTCCAGAGAGTGAGACCATATGTAATGTAGATTTTCATCCCACTGACAATATGAATAAAGAATTGATGAACAACTCACAACTTAATCATAGAGGAGAGAAGGAAATTTCTCCCAAACCAGGTATTAGTAATAATATTGCTTGATTTATAATTATTTGTAAATTATTGTTGTTGTGTGCCATCGAGTCGGACCCGACTCATAGAGACCCCTCCTTGGGTTTCCGAGGCAGTATCACTACGGAAGTAGATTGCCCCATCTTCCTTCCGGGGAGTGGCTGGTGGGTTTGAACCACCAGCCTTCTGGTTAGCAGTCAAGTGCCTTAGCCACTATGCTACCAGAGCTCCTAAATTATTAGGTATTATTATAGATAAACTTATCTTATAGAAATTTCTGACTAAACTCCCCTCAACATATGCCCTAACTGATAAGAATGAGGACATATGAGTCATAATTTGGTTTAAATGATAATATTTACTTGGAAAGTCAAACTTTTAAGACAAAGATGGTTGTGAAATTAATACTGACAGAAGTTAGCAAACGGTATTTCTGTGCATTTTTATGTTTATTTTTAATGTAGTTCTTATTTAGTATCAGGAATCATAAGAACATTTTCATGGCAGGAGATTATACTATTGACAACTATTCACTCTATTCCATCAGAATTGCAATCAGAAAACTTCATGTTTGTCATATAAATATATCTTCAGAGGCTTCCTTTCCCTTAAAAAATAAAATAAAAAAAGAAAGAAAAATAGTTCAGCTTGGAGTGAGAACTCTA